TGAGGAAGTACTGGGAGTAAACAAACAAACAAACAAATTACCAACCAGAAACAGCCATGAAATGTGGGGACAGAAGGTGATTCAACGGCTCCTCACAAACAGATGTGTCTGCCTCATCGTCTTTCTAGTGCCATTTCAGATATCACATGGCAATGGAAATTAGAAACGGTCCCGCTGGTACGTGAATGGTTTTGGAAGTTTCACAGCACATCACCAAATGAAGAACTGCAGCCAGGTCCTCAGCTGGTGTAAAATTGGTATCACTCTATTGACTTCAGTGGCGCAATGCTGATTTACACCTGCTGAGGATCAGGCCCCTGGTGTATAGTGCAAGAAACAACAAGACTTTTTTTTTTAAAAAGTGTGGGCTCCAAGGATATAAAATAGACAATTCCTTTAATGTAACTCTTTTTGACTGTAAAATCAAAGTCCTGTTACGGAGCAGGAATCTCCGTGAAGCAGTTTGTGCAATCATTTGAGTACAGAAATGGTTTAAAACAAACCCCACCAGTAGAATTTGGGTTGCCAGGAGCAAATCCTGTAGCCTTCCATGGCCTGGGAATTTGCTGTTACCCACAGGATAGCAGTTAGTTGAATTGCATAAGAAAGGATCATCATTAAAAAACACCCTAAGGCTGATGTACCAGTATTGGCACTTGGTGCATCTTCAAGCTGCAGCCATACATCCTTGGCTGCAGAAGGCTTTTTAATGGTATGAAGCAGCATCTCTTTCCAAAAAGCATGTATTGGAATCCAGCCTCTTTGCATATGAGGTGCTGCAACTCATGGAAGGGGTAGCACATGGCAGTGTCCACAGACTGTGAACCTACCCTGGATGGACTGTAAGATAGGAGGCCATATGGAAAGTGCCGTTAGCAGCTAGAATCAAACAGCATGGCTGTGTGTGCGATTACCCTGACAAGGACATTTTTTACTGAATGCTCACTGACTACTTCTTTACAAATCATGACAGGATCTCGGGATTTGAAGGCACATCCCTGTAGTGGGGGTGAGGTGGAGTCGCACAAGCAGAGGGTGGGCACTAGAAGGCACAACATCCCATAAAATTTCTTGGTGAGCATTAGGAATGCTCAATTACTCCTCCCCCCCAACATGCCAGTCATACTTTATGGGCTGGTAAGATGGAGGAAGATGGGACCATGGCCCCTTTGAGGCACCACAGGGTGCTCTCCATGGGAGCAGGGAGGGAGCAGTTCCTGAGCTCCTCACAGCAACAGAACTTCAACTGTGCCTAGTTCTTAGATTCATGCCGTAAGGTGGGACAGACTCCTTGTATCCTTCTCCTGCACCACTGTGCATCTGTGTGAAGGGACAGGCACAATTTAGCCCTGTATATAGTAGACATATAGCCTCACATTTTCTACACTGATGCATGCATGTGTGCTGACGTTTGCAGGTGTAAATCAGGGGTGCACAAGTGTATGTTCCACATATTGTGTGCCTGAAAATCTGGCCCACAGTGATTAGAGCTTCTTGGTGTCTGGGTTTCAGAGGTGATGAGCAATCTCTGCTCCTATTGAAATCTGCTGGAACTGTTGGTGTGAAACACTTGTGAAAATCAGGCCCTGATGCTCTTTTCCCAGCTCTGTCATTCCCTCTCTGGGTGGCCTCAGCCAAGTAGGTCACTTTTTTCAAAGGTAAAGAGAGGAGTGAATCATTTCCAAATAAAACGGCATCATTAGTTTGTTACTGCAGCATGTAATCTGGGGATAGAGATGGGTGAAAGCAAGACAGGAGATCAGTGCTGGAGGGTACCTTCACCAAGTGAACCTTTAAGAGGGACTTGAAGGAGGCAGCGAGGTTGCAGGCTACAGGGAGTCATGGAAGATGCTGCAGACACAGGCAGGAAGCGAATAAAGGTGTGGAGGTATTGTGTTTTTTATTGGCATCCCACTGTCCTTAATGAAAAATAAAAATTAAGGTCCATTCGTTGCAAGAGAAGAATGATCATAATTTGTTTCCTGTGGGAAAAGTCTTGCTTTTCTAAAACTTGGGGCCACACCCTCATCTGGGTAAACTGGCCTAGCTCTGTGGATAGCTGTAGAGCTAGACTGATTCATGTCACATGGGGATCTGGCTTTGGATTTTTAGGTAAACTGAGTTAATGAACAAACAGCAGCTTTGATGGGGTAGAACATTCTGTTCTACTTTGTACAGATGCTTGTACTACACCCATCACAAGAGTGCTTGAAAGGAGTAATCAGGCAACAGCAACAAACGAAGTTTTATACAATGCTCATGGAGACATAACCACAGACCACATTATTAAATTGCCTTCAGCGCTTTAGCTGTTTGCCTTTCAATCCAGGACGCACTCTTTAACTGAATACAAAGTTGACTGTTTTGTTGGAGGGAGGACGTGGGTGAAACCTGAGGACAAAAATTGTGTAATCCTTTTCGTTTGGGGGAAGTTTCTACAGACCCAGGTAGTCCATGAGGCTAACAAACTTTAACGCGTCATCAACTTAATAAAAACAAACCCCAAGACAACTGCTCACAGGTAAGGGCCTGATCCAAAGTCCAGTGCAGTCAATGGAACGACTCCTACAGATTGCAGCGAGGTTTGGATCAAGCCTTAAACCTACCTCTTCCTCTGGGTCTTCCTGAGCATCTTGGGTGAAATCTTGACTGAAATCTTGACTCCTTTGACTTAAAGGGAGCAGGATTCACCCCTTCTTTTATGCTTACAGTGTAAACTGCTTAAGGCAGGGCCTGTCTTTGGTTTTGCCCTGCACAGGGCTGAATACATCATCAGTCCTTAGCAAATAACATTCACCCCGGTCAGCAGCTGGCCTTCAACAAGGTCCTCCCTCATGCTAACTCCCAGGGTGGCCTGCCATCTTTGACAGAACTGGCTAGTACATACTAGCTGCAAGGGAATCTGAAAAAGGTTTGGTGGTTCAGATCAGAGGAGCATCCAATAGTCCTGAATGTCTTTGCAGTGGGAATCTCCCAGGAACAGGGTTTCTTGAATGTTTCACAGTGCACCTGGGTTTGTCTGGGCTGTATACCATGAAAACTGTATTTCTGCTAGGTTCCTGGATGAAACCAGGAGACACACGAACAGGAAAGTTTAAAAGAAGGGAACTGGATGATTCTGGGTCTAGGCAATGGGTTGGGGAGCCTTTCAAAACCGAGGAGTCAGTTTGAATCCAGCTCAGGTTAATAGTGACAGAAAGTGGTTACTACCTGATTAGAACGTAAGAACGGCCATACTGGGTTAGACCAATGATCCACCTAGCCCAGCATCCTTTTCTTCCAACAGTGGCCAATGCCAGGGGCTTCAGAGAGAATGAACAGAACTGGGCAATTATCGCGTGATCCATCCCCTGTTGTCCACTCCCAGCTTCCGGCAATTAGAGGTTCAGGGACATCCAGAGCATGGGGTTGTGTCCCTGACCATCTTGGCTACTAGCCATTGATGGATCAGTCCTCCATGAACTTACCTAATGCTTTTTTTGAACCCTGTTATAGTTTTGGCCTTCACAACATCTCCTGGCAACAAGTTCCACAGGTTGATTGTGTGTTGTGTGAAGTAGTACATCCTTTTGTTTGTTTTAAGCCTGCAGCCATTAATTTCATTGTGTGACCCCTGGTTCTTGTGTTATGTGAAGGGGTAAATAACACTTCCTTATTCACTTTCTTGCCACCATTCATAGTTTTATAGACCTCTATCATATCCCCCCTTAGTCGTCTCTTTTCTAAGTGAAAAGTCCCAGTCTTATTAAGCGCTTCTCATATGGAAGCTGTTCCATACCCCTAATAATTTTGTTGCCCTTCTGTGTACTTTTCCCAATTCTAATATAGCTTTTTTGAGATGGGGCAACCAGAACTGCACACAATATTCAAGGTGTGGCCGTACCATGGATTTATATAGTGGCATTATATTTTCTGTCTTATTATCTATCCCTTTCCTAATGGTTCCTAACATTCTGTTAGCTGTTTTAATTGCCACTGCGCAGTGAGCCTATGTTTTCAGACAACTAACTGAATGTTGCTCAGTGGCATGTGTGGTTGCAGTCCAGTCTCTAGTGTTATCCACACCACAAATACCACAACAGATAAATCTATCCATCAGAAAGACATTGAATTTGTATTTGATGTATACCATAACCAACCTCTTGCCTGTGTGGGCAGAAAGTCATAACCAGCCACTCAAGGCCATGTTTTCAGCACCCCCACTTTTGTGTGAGCAACTGATTGGCCTAACAAAAGTGATTCTGAGGGTGTTTTGCGTGTGCAAATGGCTATCAGTGTGTGCAGAAACCAGGCACGTAGGTGGAAATGAGGATTTTGCACATGCAAAGAAGTGGTGATGCATATTTGGAGGCTGCCTTGGGCTTGGCTGAAAACCTAGCCCTTCAATTTTAGTTTCTACTGGTCATCTTTTGTGAGCGTATATAGCCCATTGCAATCTGCATGAGTTTAACACGTGAAAAATGGAGGTCAGACCCTAAGGAATCCCACTGGCAGATGAGAAAGATGCTTGATATAAAACCACTTCGCTAAAATAGGGCAAAACTCCCATTGACTTGAATGGGGCCAGGTTTCACCCATAGAGAGGAACATGCCAATTGAATCAGCGAGTGACCTTTTTGTCATGTGAAATATCTAAGTCAGATGCTTTTAAAAAGTATTAACTTGCAGCTAGTCAGTGTAATTTGTAATTAATTATACCATGCTCTGAGTGAGATGACCAGCAGCTATGCAGTTCAGTCTGATCCTACCATCAACCCATTGCGCAGCCAGTTAGCCGAGCGCCACACTCTTTATGAACTGTGTCACTCCCTTTATTCACGGCACCCATGCAATGTACATGCAGTTCCAGCCGCTGACTTTTGTTTATCCACAGCCTGAGGAAGGCCTCATGCCAAAAATGTGTCTTTCCAACAGCCATGCTCCCGCAGGAAGAGGGAAAACGGAACATTCCTGAATTAACAAAAATTCACCTCCCCTTACATTTGTATTCTGTTTTGCAGATGGGAAATGCCTCTGATTCCTCAGCGTTCATGTCCACCTTATCAGAGAGAGAAGACCTGATTTTTGGCACACTCTATTTGCTCTTTGGTAAGGAAAGACTTCTTCTTACGCAGGTGATCTCACACCCATCTCCATGGCAAAAGCTACTGACAGGTCTGTCACAGGGAGATTCAGGCACCTTGCATTCACTTCCACTAATAGTTTATTACTCCCAGAAAAGTGTTCCATGTTTTTTGGGTTCATCTGAGCTCACCCCTCCCACACTCTCCTCCATCACAGACAAGTATGGCATGAGCACAGGACTTTCTGGATTCTACTCCTGACACCAATTTTCTCTGGGTTCTTGGGCAAGCCACATCAGTGCTCTGTGCCTCAGTTTCTCCACATGCAAAATGGGGCTAGTAGTACATATCTCCCTCACAAAAGGTTGTGAGGATTTATTTATGTTTTAAAATGCTTTGAAGTTGAAGAGTGATGTATAAGGCCCTGATACAACTCCTACCACAAGAAAGTAAGGAGAAAAACTGGTCAGAAAAATTCCAATAAAACAATTTTTTGGCAGAATTTGTCAATTCCGCAAAATCAAAATGTTCTGTGGAGATGGTTCGATTTGGCCAAAGTGCCAATGGAGTTCCTGTAAGAAACATGGCTGGTTTCCTGCCAGCTTGTCCTTCTGGCTGTTGGGCAGCTACCTGGTGCACAGCTGGTGAGCCTGAATTTCCAGGGTGTGTGGCTCTGGGGCACGCTGCCCCTGCAGACTGCGTTGGGGATGGGAACCCCAGGGATTGCAGGGTTTGTGACTGCAGGGCAGCTCACCAGGCAAACCACCCTGAGGCTGGGGCTCCATTCACTTTTGAAGAGAATGTTGGAATTTTTGATTTAGTTCCTCACTGAAACAAAACCAAATGTCGAAATACCGAAATCCTCTGGGAAAGGAATTAGCTCTCTTCGCCCAGCTCTAGGAATGAGTGTGAGCTGTGAGTGAAGCCCCGTGACACACACTGTGGTGTGAGGAGAGGTGAATAAATCCTGAAAGGAAATGAAGGATAATCTGCAAACATTCATAGACCCAGATCCTGGTCTCTGTTACACTGGTGTAAAAGTGGAATAACTCCATTGCAGCCAGTAGAGTTACCAGTTTAACTGAAAACAGGATTTGACACACTGTCCCACACAGCTGCCTTCTCAATGTCTTGTTCATTTCAGGTTTCAATAGATAGCAAGGTAAATGAATCAGCGTCTCTTCTGTCTATGGCTAGGAGATGCTTAATGATGCGCTGAACAAAGGATCTCTGCTGTCAGGGAGAGAAGGAATTAATGGCTTGGATGCCTCTGGAAAAAATAAATAGTTTGTAACAAAGTGGTCACCCAGGGCGTCCGATCAGGCATGGGCGCCAGACCCAGACACAGATCATCCAGGCCCTACATCTCAAAGACCACTTCCTAGGTCAGAATTCTGTCCCCTGACCAACGAGCCGGCCTTGTGCCATTCCTCTGCATTCCCCCACAGTTTAGGCCCAGGCTGGTCAAGTCCTCGTATTTTCATTCTTGTGAGCTGTGTGTGTAGGTGGCAGTTTATTCTAAAGGCGAAAGATTCCCAACAGCAGCGTTGCCAGCTCTTGAGATTTAATCATGAGTCTTGTGACATCTGGTGTTTCTCACAGAGCCCAGGCATGTGCAGTCATGTGATTACATGTAAATCTCCCCTTTCAACAAAGTTTCTGGCTCTTGTGGTGGAGGAAAAGCTTGAAAATGTGCCCCAAGTGCCCCCTGAAGGCTCAAGAGCTATAAGGTAAAAGAAAAACAATCTAGCTTGTTTGGGTTGTTTAAACCTCCTGATTTTTAAGGGCCCAACTCGACTTTTGAATGCTTGAGATTAGCAACATTGCAATAGCGGATTCCCAGTCAAAGCCAGGGAGGGAAGGGAAGGACCAGTCTGCCCACACTCCTGCCTGGGATGCTGCATTTCACATCCTAATTTTCCTCCATCCCACCCAAATGTGATGATCTTCCACTTTTACTATCAGAGAAAACTCACTTCAAAAACCAGAACCGATCGCAAAGCAAGATCGCAGGAAATCTTATCTGAACTTACGCTGAAGAAATGGATCCCATGTCATTTTAAACAGCTTGAACTCATACACTCACTCTGTGTCCCATGTGTCGACCTCTGTAAGATGAGAGGTGTGCAAGCAATGCACAGAAATGCACACACAAGCGTGCACATCCAACACACATACACATGCAACCACACCAGGAGTACACAGAAACACAAACACACAACTACACAAATGACCATACACACACACAGGTAGACGTGTGCATACCAGAGCACTCAACACACACACACGCATATGGAAACAGACACAGGAACAAACACACATGTGCACACAGGAGTGCACCCGCTCACGTAATGAAATGGCATACATGGAAAAAACCAGCCTGCTTCATGCCATTCTGAGTAAGACGGCGAAAGTCAGCAGCTCTTGCATGCAGCTAAGGAAGATCCTAGAAGATAATAAAGCTAGTAGAATACAGCTAATGAAGAGGCGAGGGAAGGAGTCAAAATAGCTTTGTGGAGGAGTCCTCTAGCAGTGCTGGAAACAAGGATGTGCATTTGCAAACTAGTTCCCCTTAAGTGACCCCTAAAAAGCATTCAAAGACTATGTATCTGGGAGCAAGTCTCCCCTGCAGGAGTCCTACTTATTGAGGATAACATATTTATATTAGCCATTATACAGCTTTGGCATGTAATTGTAACTATAATATTTCATTTACAAGCTAATCCACTGGGAATTAATTCGAGTCCCACATAACCTGCCCCTTGAGTAGCTAGGTTCCCCTTTGTGCATACACAGGAAAATTCTTTTATTGTTACTTAACAGATGAAGAAAACCCTGGTATGAACATTTATTTACCACTGTTGTTTTAAATACATTCCAAGGAAACAAATGGCTTTTTCCTGTTGGTTAGGCTGGATTTACCCTAATCTTCATAATGTCCTTTTGTTTATGTTGTAAACCCAATATTGTACAGCACAGACTCACACTAGAGAGATTGCCAGGAAGGAATTAAAAGCGGAACATGCTCAGCTTCTTGGCATCACCACCATAACAACACTGTCACAAAGCTCACACTATTTATCCGGCTGGAAAGGGTTGGAGGCTCCCTGTCTTCAGTCAGAGGAATTCAGTTCTGCCTTGGACTCTGCTCCCAGAGTCCGTTTCACTGACATTCTGCCTGCTGCCCCATCCTCACAGCATCTAACAATTACATTCCCATTTAAAGTTGCTCTAAAAGTGCTCAGGCAGCCTCATGCCCTTAGGTGTCTAATGGTTGTTATTCACTGTGCCAGCTGAAGACACTCTTTTTGCCAAGTACAGCAAGTCCTGGAAGCAGATCATATACCAGGGGGTGACCAGCCTTGAAAAGCCTGAAGACACTTCCGCCTTTTGTATAGCGTGAAAATGATGCATCCAGGAGAGCTTGGAGAGTTGCCTGGCTCTTGCCCTATATCTGGTTACCTGGAGCTCCTGAATGCAAACTGAAAGGGCAGTTACCAAGTTCTTAGAATGGCCATGACTATGCAGAGGAGATGAGGTAATGTTAGTGTGGAAGGAGCATGCCCAGTGTGAACTATATCATTCCAAGAGCCAGAACAGACAGATTGGACAGAGTGCTTGAGCAGTCCATATAAAACCCTTCTTCTTGTCTCCAGCCAGCCTGCCTGCCAAATGCTCGCTAACCATTGCACAAGGTGCTGATGCAGCAGAGGTACAAAGCCAAGTGCTTTATTGATCACGTCTGTCCTGGCTGAGTATTCCCCATGTACTCACTACACTCCAAATTCCTGCACCAGCACACAGTGGACGCTGGGTAAAAGCTGAGAAGCAGTTTTCTCCTTGCATGTTTCAAAGTCCTGGTTAGCAATTAAGAAGGGATGTGACCCAGAGTGTTATAGGGCCCCACAGATCCTAAAGTGGGAAATCTGCATGTGTGAGATCTGTGTCTGTTCTTCCCTTTACACATTCATACATGCAGTGAGCGGCATCTCTGCCCATACACGGCTGCCAAATAAACACAACCCATCAGTGTTTGAGGATAGTAAGTGACCAGCAAGACAGACCAGCACACATGCCCTCCCCCTGTCCCTATGTCATGCACTGCACTGCTGCTATCGAGCTTGGGTATCCTATACTGGGTCTGTCTCTCTCTGCTTTTTCTCAGGCATAGTTTCTCTCTTTGGAAATTCCCTGCTCTTGCTGGTGGCCTATCGGAAGAGATCCATGTTGAAGCCTGCTGAATTCTTCATTGTGAACCTGGCTATCAGTGACCTGGGCATGACGGTGACCCTCTTCCCTTTGGCCACGCCATCCTTCTTTGCACACAGGTAGCTCATTTGCATGGCATTGCATTTAACGGGCATTTCTGCGGGTGTCAGTTTGCCAATCCTGCCTTGACCTGGAGAAGGAATGAAGACTAGGGGCCAAAGTCTGAGCTCAATCACAGCGATGTAAATTTGAAATAATCCCATTGAAGGCAAGGGACTCACACCAGTATAAGTGGGAGCAGAGTTTGGCCCCAGATCTCTCCGAATAGGAATTCATATCCTGCACTGGGAACAGGGATCATTCCCAAGGGACTGAGCCAAATATAATCAGATATGAGCCACCTCAGCAGGAAGAACCATCCCCCCCACCTCCCCTCGGCAACTCCCCCCCAAGACATAAGCTAGTGCTGCTGGCCCTTCTGTGGCCACCACATACGCGCCTCTCAGAGGCAGTGGCTGCAATTAGTCCCCTGCACTGGCTTAGGCTGCTCCCTGGTTCACCCTCCTCTGGTTTGCCATACAGGGTTTTTGTGGGGTGCACCTCCCCTCCCCACAGCAAGAGGTACGAGCCCAGCCATCAATCTGACCACTGCCTGGTGTTGCAAGTTGGAGTTTAGTTGAATCCATGTGGCATTGTGGGGATGTATCCACATGGGGCAGTAGGGAGAGTCGCAAACGTGGTCCAAAGCAACCACATGTGGCTCATGAGCTGTAGGTCCCCTGCTCTAGAGCTTTGCAAACCTGCAGGACCTGACGACAAGTGTCAGGTTTGGTTTGGGTATGAAAACAACCTGACCCTCCCAGCCTCGGGTTGGGTCACCTCTGCTCACCTTCTGCTGGCCGGGGGGTAGGCGTGGCAGCTGCATGCCCCACTCCTGCTGGCTGGCACCACCTCGCTGCTCTCTGCATGTGTTGCAGTGTGAGCATGCTGACACACAGCACAGCGTTGCACCAGCAGCACATGCAGCCGCCAGCCCGACCCCACAGGGAAGCAGCCAGAGACAGATCATGGCCATGGGACGTAGAGCGCAGGAAGCCCCCACCAGGCCCAGGGACTCAAGGACTAGGGGGCAGTGCCGACACAGGTTCAGGGCAAAGTGTTGGATTTGGGTGGAATCATTTTCAGAACTGACCTGACACGCTCCAGTTGGGTTGGGGTCGGCTGTGCTCAGGTCAGGTTTGGGTCCAGGTTGGGCTTTAAAATTAGGCCCAAGCAGACCTCTACTCTGGCTCCACCCGATGGCAGGGGGCTGGCGGGACTTGTACAGTATGTACCAGCAGGTGCTGCAGCATATTTAAACTGAGCTTTGCTAGGACAAAACCTTTCAGCCACGTGCAGCGTCCTTCCGAAACTGACTTATCACCTTTCTGTTTTGAGGGAGGTAGCGTGGGCTAGTGGTTAGGACACAGGACTGGGAGTCAAGAGACCAGAGATTATTCCCAGCTCTGCCACTGACCTGCTGTGCAACCTGGGGCAAGTCACTTTGTCTCTCTGTGCCTCAGCTTCCCCATCTGTAAAATGGGGCTAATGATATTAACCATCCTCTGTAAAGATCTTTGAGGTCTGTGGATGAAATGTGCTAAACAATATTACTACTTCCTTGAAACTGACACTCCAACAGTAATGTGCAAAGAGTGAAACTGTTTCAGTTCAATATAGAGAAGGCTTTTTTTTTTAAAAGCAGTACATGCAGCTTGTGTGTACAACTGCATGTGTGACTAGCTAATCACGGTAATTTGCATTCACAATGACTCAGTTTGTGCTCACAGCCATGATAACGGTGTGTACCGTAGGGGCACAACCACATGCACAACTCCTTAGACAATCAGGCCCTAGGTATTTATTTCCCCATTCCATTGCATCCACCAGAACAGCCTCCTAGAGCGCAGCTCTTCCGCTTCGGTAGTTTTGCTTTCTGTGTCAAACCATGAGCTGGAGTGGTGCCAAACTTCTGTAATCAAGTGTCTGGTTTGAAATGCCGGGTGGGAAATACCCAGGTGACTTCATGAACTGCACAAAGCAGCTCAGACAAGTTCCTTCTCAACAGAATCACAAGCCTGGCGAGCTCAGCATGGGGTGTAACTGTGAAGGTTTTGATTTTACCTGATGCTTTTTCCCTTCCAGATGGCTGTTTAACCATGCGATGTGCACATTCTATGCATTCTCTGGCATGTTCTTTGGCCTCTGCAGTCTTACCAGCCTGACAGTGCTAAGCACGGTTTGCTGCCTGAAGGTCTGTTATCCAGCATGTGGTAGGTGCTGGGATGTGTAACCCACGTTATTCTCTCCACTTCTGCCATCCGGCTATTACTTCCAGTAACCTCACTCCATCTTCCCCATTCTTTCACAACTTAGGTTAGTCACAAATCTCTTGGCAACAGCCCCCTGAAAAGCTCTCCATTAGGGAACATTTTCATAAACATTTTAAATTACCCTAATTAACACAAACAATAATACCATAGCTACTTGTTTTCCTCTTTTAATTTGCATATGTAAATTCATCACCATCCCATTTACTGTTTGGTGCCATACAATCAACGCAGCAGGTCCTTAGAAGTGTGGGTGGGAGCAAGTTAAATTTATTATTTCACAACCCCTAATTAAATAGGGCGATGTGTTAGAGCTCCAGTATCCTTTCCATGTACTAATTGTACACACAACGGGGCATCACTTTGAGTGATTGCTGCTCCCAGAGATCATTGGGATCTATGGATCAGCAGTTCCTTTCCAAAAGCTATGTCCTAGGGGTGTCAGTGTGGTTGTTGCCCCTTTGCCCTACTGCTCTGTGTGGCTTTTGGTTTTAAGGATTTCATGGATTGTCTTGGGCCAGGCAATTTCACACCAGTCTGAGTGCTGGGCTGCAGATAAAGACAGTTATGCTGCATGTGTGAGCTCCTACCTTAGTGTTAAATACATTTTGCTTGACTGACTCTGTCCTTGCATAGGAAATGCAATGGATGTGCAGTGGAAATGCTGCACATCTGATTTAGGAAGTTCCCTGGTTTATGGCTCTCAGTCTAAGGGTTATTCAGATCTAATCACCATCTTTTAGTTGAATGTTAGCCATATGGCTGGTTTTGTGCAAGACAGAAATACAAAGAAAATCGTAGCCCGGCCCCCCAGTTGTTCACAATCAAGGCAGGGTTTATCCAAACTGATCCTAATGACTAGGGCCCTACCAAATTCACAGCCATGAAAAATGCATCGTGAACCATGAAATCTGATCTCCCTCTGTGAAATCTGGTCTTTTATGTGCTTTTACCCTATATTATACAGATTTCACGGGGAGACCAGTGTTTCTCAAATTGGGGGTCCTGACCCAAAAGGGAGTTGCAGGGGGGGTTGCAAGGTTATTTTTGGGGTGGGTCACGGTATTACCACCTTTACTTCCGCACTGCCTTCAGAGCTGGGTGGCCGGAGAGCGGAGGCTGTTGGCCGGGCACCCAGCTCTGAAGGCAGCACCCCGCCAGCAGCAGCACAGAAGTAACGGTGGCGATACCATATCACACCACTCTTACTTCTGCGCTGCTGCCTTCAGAGCTGGGAGGCCAGAGAGTGACGGCCCAGCAGCCGCTGCTCTCCAGCCACCCAGCTCTGAAGGCAGCACCACTGCCAGCAGCATCACAGAAGGGTGGCAGTACCGCAACCCCCTCCACAATAACCTTGTGACACGCCCCCCCCACAGCTCCTTTTTGGGTCAGGACCCCTACAATTACAACACCATGAAATTTCAGATTTAAATATCTGAATTCATGAAATTTAGGATTTAAAAAATCCTACATCCGTGAAATTGACCAAAATGGACCGTGAATTTGGTAGAGCCCTATTTCTGACAGATTACACTGCAGAGATAGCAAAACAAAAATGTATTCTAGGTCCAGATTTTTAGGACTGTACATGCATGAGTTTGCATGCATTTGCACACCTAATCTGTGCACACAATTACTGTGATTGGACATGTAAATGCTTATTGCCATTTTGGAGGATGATTAGCAGCTGTGGACGCAAATTAGGTACACAGACAGCATGTACAGATGAGCACTTGTAATTCTGAATGTCTGGGCCTTCATCTCCCTCCCCTGCCCCGATAGAGTGAATTCATAGACCTCTTGTCTCATGTATTCTGATGTGAAACATGGCGAATAGCTTTCTTGGGACTTTCTGACTTTGGAGAGTGCCTCCACTTAAAAGAGAGGGAGGTGGCAACAGAACATTCTCCATGAGGGGCCTCAGTCTGAAACGGCTCAGGTCACTGGACCTTCAGGGCACAATACAGGGCATATGCATTTATCAAGAGCCCAGTTCCAGTGCCTTATTCACATGGAGTAGTACCTGACTCCAAGTGGTCTCTCAGAAATCAGTGGAAGCACTTGCAGTGTCAGATACTAGCCCATGTGAGTAAGGGTGGCAGAATCAGGCCCCAAAACACGTTAGAAGATGGGGCTTATTAGGGGCTGAGATTGGTGAGGGAGGGAGAAGTTTGGGGGAAGACTGAGTTGGAGGGCTGCTGGGATCGTTAGTTGTTCATTTGCAGTTGATTGTTAGAAAGGCTATTTTCCACTGAGGAAAAGGCTTGTGCTACAGGAACCAGCACTGCTCTTACATATAGCCAGGGCAAGAGCCCTGGGGCACCAATAAAAAGACAGCCGAATGCTGCAAAAAGGACTTGAATCTTTTCTGGCAAAGTGGTGTGCTTTAGCTAATGCCAAGGAAACAGCTTCCATAGCAGGGCCAGAAAACTCTAGAGAGTCAGAGCTGTTTTCATAATCACATGAGTGGGAAGCCTGGGAGAATTCCAACCCCCAAATTAGGGCTGGATGGCAGATGTAGTCATTGCAGGTAACATCCACCCTCCACACTACTTAAACCCCACAGTGGGGTCATGGATGGGGGCCTCAGGAAGACCAGCTGTCTATGGGAGTCTTTGAATCCTCTGTGTGCTATGGAGAGGGACTCCCTGCCTGCTCCAGCCAGGCCGGTGCAGTGGGTAGTTGAGGAAGGCTGGAGGATGAGCCACTGGATCCACAACTGCACAAACACAGGGGACAGGAACATCCCACCCCCAACAGGAGGGTCTGAGGTGGGCTCTGGAACAGCCAAGGCGAGTTAGTGGCTGCACAGAGGCTGCAGGTTGGGCTGAATTCCATTCAGCCTTTGGGAAGGGAAGGGTGAGTAGGACAATAACCTGCCTAGGCTTCATCTCAGTGGGCACATCACTCCCGCAGGGTTGTATTTTAAGTACATTGCATCATGAAGCATAATCTGAGTGGTGCAAACTAGAGCCTAGATCTTTATACATAGGCACACAGTAGTGAGCGTATGCCAGACTCATGCATGAGAAATGAGGTGTGGCATGAAAATCTGGCTCTAAACTGTTGCTATTTATCTAACCATGATATTGCAAGAAAACGCAGTATTTCCCTATGGCTGTACCAGGAGGACATGGAGGGCAGGCTTGACTGTGACATGTTCAGTGCTGACCTTTTATTTTGATCCACTATTGGCAAGACATATATAACACTGGGAAATAATTAATATTGTGGGGCCAAATTCACAATGGGGCAACTCCCTTTTGCAGCACAATTTTCACCTGCATTGTTGTTGCCGGGACTTTAGTTGTAGATGCTAATCTGAGTGCTTGCAACACACCAAATGTGGGTATGAATGAGGTAGTTAAAGAGATATGTACTTAGATTTGCACTTGCAGTTCATTGTCTGGGTACAAAAATTGGGGTACAAATTGCACCCACAAAAGAAGAGCTGAGGTCCAGACACCTATCTGTAAATGTACCCTATATGTTTTTATATTGTCCTGCAGGAATTACTTGCATTTTCTCATTTAGACAGCTGAACCTGCCAACCAATATATCTTCACAGATTTTGGATTACAGACAAATATAAATATAATAGAAACCAACAATATTAACTTGATTTGCAGACAAATTCTCCAAGATATATTCTCCAATAAATTCCCTCTGTAGCAACCCAGAATGGATACTGTGTGGGAAGGACCTGAGTAGCTGGATTTCAGTCACTCATCGCATTGGCATCCATCTTGTGGCTGAATTTGGTAGATTGCAACAGAGAGTCCTGTGGCACCTTTAAGACTAACAGATGGATTGGAGCATAAGCTTTCGTGGGTGAATGCCCACTTTGTCATGCATGCATCCGATGAAGTGGGCATTCACCCACAAAAGCTTATGCTCCAATACATCTGTTAGTCTTAAAGGTGCCACAGGACTCTCTGTTGCTTTTTACAGATCCAGACTAACACGGCTACCCCTCTGATACTTGGTAGATTGGTGATTTATACACACACTAACTAACACACAGCAGCGTATTTCTGAAATGGTGTGCCTGGGAAGGGAAGCCCAGGCCAGCCTACAAAGCAGCCAGGGCCGGCTCTGGCTTTTTTGCCGCCCCAGGCAAAAAAGCTGCCCGCCGCCCTCCCCCCCCCCCCGCCAGCGTGGCAGGGGAGGGCACCGAGCCCGGCCACAGGCCGCTCTCCCCAACCGGCCAGAGTGCCGGGGGGAGGGCGGCGAGCCTGCTGCGGCTCCGCTGGCGGCCGGAGCCCCGGGAGGAGGGCAGAGAGCCTGGCTGGAGCTCCGCTCTCCTCGGCGGCCAGAGCGCTGGGAAGAGGGTGGCAAGCCCGCTGCGGCTCCGCTCTCCCCGGTGGCCAGAGCGCCAGGGGCAGGGCAGCGAGCTGGCCGGGGCTCCGCTTTCCCCGGCGGCCAGAGTGCCGGAGGGAGGGCGGAGAGCCCGCCGCGGCTCCGCTGTCCCCGGTGGCCAGAGTGCCGGGGGGAGGGCGGAGAGCCCGCCGCAGCTCCGCTCTCCCCCGTGGCCAGAGCACCGGGAGGAGGGCGGAGAGCCCGCCGCGGCTCCGCTCTCCCCGGCGGCCAGAGTGCCGGGGGGAGGCCGGAGAGCCCAGCCGGGGCGCCACTCTCCCCGGCGGCCGGAGCACCGCACCGCCCCCCTCCAGGTGCCGCCCCAAGCACAAGCTTGGTGGGCTGGTGCCTGGAGCCGGCCCTGAAAGCAGCATCTCAAAGGAGGCCACGAGGCTGGGTAATTAGGGCCTGATCTTGCACCATTGAAGTCAATGGGAGTTCTGCCATTGACTCCAATAAGCAGAATAGAGCCCTTTGAGGAGCTGTGTCATGCTTAGCAGAACATGCCATGTACCTTGTAGGAATCCAGACACAGCTAAGTGAGTAAATTGGTGTCCCTCTTGGTAACGAATAAGTACCCGAAGAAC